TGTTTTCCCAAGTATAATTTGCAGATGGGAACTTTTATTTTTAATTCAGAAAGAGATAGTAAAAAGTAAATAATTTAACTACATATTGCTTAAAAAAATCACATAATTTGGAAATTTAAATTAAGTCAAAATTTTAAGCTGTCCGTTTTTTGTGACGATGCGGTGAGTGTATACACTTGAAACTGGGATATGTTTATTTTAATTATCGTCCTAATTACAGCAGTCAGCAGTTATAATTAAAGCAAAGATATTAATTCTAATTAAAACAGTTCTATTAAATCAGTATGCACGGGAGCAGCGCAAACTAAGCCATTTACAACTACGTACGTATTATCCAGCTATATATAACGATTTCACTGCTAGTCTTTTTTGAAGAGAACCAACGAGCTAAGTAAACCTTCAGCCGAAAAAGGGGCAAATTTACATGGAACCGTTTCCAACCATTAAATTATGCAAGGCGAATGCCTACAGAAGGCAAACTATTTTCCTCTCTCATGAATAAGTTATTTATAAAATCTTACATACACTGTTTTAGCTCAAAGCGGGGTTTAAACGTTGCGCAATGATTTAAGCGGAAAATGCCAAACCTTTTTCTCTTTCACTTTTAGGTATATGCAAAGGAAAAGACTTTTTATACACGAGTACAATAGAATTTAAACCTTGACATTTACGAAAATAACATATGTAATAGTATAAGAAGAACGAAAAACAGAAAAGTTTATACAGTTAAAGTTAGATACAAACTTATTGTTGTACGTTACATTAGGCAAAGGAAATAAAGTCCTCCAGTGCCAGCTCACCACTTACTGAAATTACTAAAATTACTAAAATTACTAAAATTACTAAAATTACTAAAATTACTAAAATTACTAAAATTACTAAAATTACTAAAATTACTAAAATTACTAAAATTACTAAAATTACTAAAATTACTAAAATTACTAAAATTACTAAAATTACTAAAATTACTAAAATTACTAAAATTACTAAAATTACTAAAATTACTAAAATTACTAAAATTACTAAAATTACTAAAATTACTAAAATTACTAAAATTACTAAAATTACTAAAATTACTAAAATTACTAAAATTACTAAAATTACTAAAATTACTAAAAGTACTAAAAGTACTAAAAGTACTAAAAGTACTATATAACTTTAGTAATATAGGATAACTTAGGGCTGCATAGCCAACAATAGACAACAATGGGCCCAACTACAAAGAGAGTATGTGCGGGAGACTACACTATAATTTTAAATGGTTGAATAAGCTGAAAATGATGATGATACGTATAAATAAACATAAAAATTTCGCTCTATCATATCCGTGACAAAATTCGTCAATTTTATAAATAACTAAATAGAGTTAGATATCGCATCTAATAGATAAATTATTTTCGAAATACGCTCTAAGAGATATAGATTTATCTATAGTAAACATAAATTAAAACATCATCAATAAAGTAACGAAACATCAAGATATACAAATTGCAAATTATTTTTCTCGAGAGTCTTCATTTAAATCGTTCCGAATAAGTTTCGTTTGCCTGTAAAATCGGAACAAATTGAATTTATGTCAAAACAGTAAAAAATATTGCCGCACGATACGGTTTCATGAGTCTCTACTAAAAGCTGTAGTTCTGACGTTGACTTGAAGACGTACAATAAACTTGCAACGGCGAATCGGATTAAATATTCAAAGCAACGTAATAGCAATAATAAAAGTAGAAGAAATAAGATTGATAAGTAAGGAAAGAGTGATTGAGGTTATGAAGAAAGAGCATGAAAGGGGATATTTGTGAGTTTGTTTACTTATGGAAAGGAGTAACGAACTTGTTATATGAAGATTAAGTTACTATCAAGTTTATTGAGATATATTTTTATTCTACTGCAATATTTTTCTAGGGATAAATATTACACGTCCATATATGGATATTTTTTTTGTTTTTTAAGCATCTGATTGATTATCATCTCATTAAAAATTAAATTTTAAATTCTTCACACTTCTTTTATACTCTGTATAACGTCATATAACCGAATTATTTTGAATTTTATTTCAATATTATAGCAATAAAAATTTATTTATATAGATTTAGTATTGTTTTTAATCAAGTTTCGGTATAAATAAACATAAAAATTTCGCTCCATTAACTCCGTGGCAAAATTCATCGATTTTATAAATAAGTTAACAAACCGAATCGGGCTGAATATACTGAATTTTTCATTTTCGAGGGTCGGTTAGTCGAATTCGGAATATTTTGTTTGAAGAACGCGCTCCGGTGGGCTTTAACAATTATTCTAAATGGTAATTCGAACGGGCGGAGATTTATTTTATATAATTTTTGCCGCTCGTCATCTCGATTTACCGATTTATTATACGGCTAATTGGAGTAATAAATTAAACAACGTTTACAGGGTGAGTTAATAAAAATAAACTGGCTAAATTAGCGCCCGCCGTATAGGAAATTGACGAAAGAAACACCACCGTTCAACGGTTTTTACATATTTATATGATTACCGCCGAGCAGGAGATTCAATTTTTCAAGTACGGCGGTTGTTGCAAAATATTTAAAAAAATACTGCCGATATACTTCTTAAAAAACAGAAATAACGCCCTTATTCTACAAAATTTTGTGTTGAGTTAATAAATACAACCTGACTAAATAACCGCTGGCGGTATAGACAACTGACGAAAGAAAGACCGCCGTTAGACGGCCTTACTTATTTACAAGCACAAATACCGCCAAAAAGCAAAGTAAATTTTTTAATTAGAATACCGCCGGTATACTTTTTTTAAACATATATACCGCCCTTATTTTACTACATTTTATGCGTTGAGTGAATAAATGCAAACTGGCTAAATTATCGCGGTTGTTACAAAAAATTGACAAAAAAAAGACCGCGGTTAGACGGTTTTACATATTTATTAAAAGCGAGGTAAGTCTTTCAAGTATGGCGGTTGTTGCCAAATATATAAAAATACCGCCGGTACCGTTTTTTCAAAAGACAGAAATACCGCTTTTACTTTACCTATGTGTTAATAAGTACTGGCTAAATAACCGCTGGCGGTATAAACAACTGACGGAAGAGAGACCGCCGTTAGACGGTTTTACATGTTTCTTAACATAAATATCCCTGAAAAGCGAGGTAAATTTTTCAATTATAATGATTATTATATTTTTTATTATCGCCTAATATATAAAGAATACCGCCGGTATACTCGTTTTAGAAGCAGAAATACCGCCCTTATTTTACCAACTTTTATGTGTTGAATTATTAAATACAAACTGGATAAATTACCGCTGGCGGTATAGATAACTGACGGAAAAAATACCACCTTTAGACGGTTTTACATATTTGCTTACGTGAATATCGCCGAAAAGCAAAGTAAATTTTTCAAGTACGGCGGTTGTTCCAAATATATAAAGAATACCGCCGGTATACTTTTTTTACAAACAGAAATACCGCCCTTATTTTACCAAAATGTGTTGGGTTAATAAATGGAAACTGGCTAAATTACCACCGGCGGTATAAACAATTGACAAAAGAAAGATCGCCATTAGACGGTTTAATATATTTATTAATATAAATACCGCTGAACAGCAAGGTAAATTTTTCAAGTACGGCGGTTGTTCCAAATATATAAAGAATACCGCCGGTATACTTTTTTTACAAACAGAAATACCGTCCTTATTTTACCAAATTTTATGTGTTGGGTTAATCAATGCAAACTGGCTAAATTACCACCGGCGGTATAAACAATTGACAAAAGAAAGACCGCCATTAGACGGTTTAATATATTTACTAATATAAATACCGCTGAACAGCAAGGTAAATTTTTCAAGTACGGCTGTTGTTGCCGAATATATAAAGAATACCGCCGGTATATTTTTTAAATATATATACCAACGAACAGCGATGTCATTTTTTCAAGTATGGTGTTTGATTCCAAATATATAAAGAATACCGCCAGTATACTTTAAAAAACAGAAGTACCGTCCTTATTTTACTAAATTTTATGTGCTTAACTCAGCACAAAAAATAAATACAAACTGGCTAAATAACCGATGGCGGTATACACAACTGACAAAAGAAAGACTTCCGCGTCGAATACCACCGAAGGTAAATTTTTCAAATACGGCGGTTGTTGCCAAGTATATAAAAAAATACCAAGTATATTTAAAAATATAAAGTATAATAAGCTAAAGTGTTCTTGAATAGTAGAATTTAGATGTTTTAAATAGTTTTTTTCTTAGTTCTTTCTGTTTTTTTTTTGTTTCTGATGACGGGAAGAGATATACTTCCGAAACGTTAAGCATGTTTTGTCCGTTAGGGAAATTTGTTATATTAGAAAAATACCGCCGGTAAGTTGGTTTACGTTGGATTAACGCAGCGGTGTTTACAAAAAATAATTATTTTATTTTGTAAATTTTTTTACAGAGCAAGTGGCGAAATAACCGGAGGACATTTCTGAAGAAAGGTTATTTATTTCAACCGTATTGTACAGGGTGAATCTTAAATAAATGGAAATATTTTATGGGTGGTATATTGCGACCCCAGAAACACACCTGTGTTTCACCAATTTTTTTTTCGCATAAAAAATGAAAATTTGGAATTCTTTGTAAAACCATAATATCTTCATAACATGGCCGCGTAGGTAGTAGATTAAATTTACAAGAAAGAAAGCACTTCTCAAAATGGAGGCGAAAAATCATTCTTTTTAATTTACAAAGTAAAATATCTCGGTTATTTTGGACTTATTTAAAAAATGGTAAAGAGAAAACATGTTTCTTTTATCAAGATCTACCAGCTCTAGGCTATTTGCACTTATTTAAGACACACCCTGTATAATGTACCTATTCAAAAATGCAAGAAGCGATAATCCGGATTTTTTATTAACCCTAGCTTTAATTTATCCCAGTTATTGTGTCACTACTGTACTTTAAAATTATGACGATTATTCCTAACAGTCTCCTTAATACTCTTTCTTTTTTTTACAGTTTCCGAGAAATACTTCGAGCTGAAACGCTTGAAAGCCGACGAGGGCTTCATCAGAGTTCAGTGCCGCGCAGACGGCATCTACCCCGCGCCCCTCATCAGCCTCCACTCCCAACAGAGGTAATTTTAATAGAGAACAAAGAGACAACCTAAAGGGTCTAATAAACACCTTATGTTGCACCTTATTGCTTTTATCGACCTCCCAGGAATAATAGTGTAGCCTAGCAGGATGAGTATGCCTGTGTGTGTAGTGCACACCGAGGAAAGACCGTTAGCTTTTATGTCGGCTGAAAATTAATTTAAGTTCGGTGTATGGTTTTCGTTTTGGGCGTTTGTTGAATTTAATGGTTTTGCATTTTAGTCTAATAAAGCTAGTTAATATAGTACGAAAAACAGACTACTTAAAATTTTAGTGTATTTGAAAGTTTAATATATTTTGAACTCGCCCACCGATTTAGGTGATTTTTAAATTAATTTGTAGCTAAATTATTTGACTTTCGAGCCTCATTTTTCAAATTAAAAATTAAAGAACCTATCCGTCTATTATACGAAGAAAAACAAAGTGTTTATGTTTTGGCGACAGTTTAACACACTTTGTGGAATGATTTTAACAAAGTAAGAAGTATAAAATCTACTGGGGGGTGCCAAAAAGAAGCATCTTCTTTCGATAGCTTATTTTTTCATTTAGAAATACCGCCATTATTTTACGGCGGTATAAAAAAACTGACTAAAAAACCACCGCCGTTAGACGGTTTTACATGTTTCTTAACATGAATACCGCTGATAAGCGAGGTAAATTTTTCAAGTATAGCGATTGTTAATATATTAAGAATACCGCCAGTATATTTTCTTAAAGAACAGAAATACCGCCCATATTAATTTAAATTTTATGTGTTGAGTTAATAAATACGAACTGGCTAAATAACCGCTGGCGGTATAGACAACTGACGAATAAAAAACAGCCGTTAAACGGTTTTATATACTTATTAATATGAATACCGATTTTGATTATATATTATATTTAAAGGAATTTGTAGCTAAATTATTTGACTTTCGAGCCTCATTTTTCAAATTAAAAATTAAAGAACCTATCTGTCTATTATACGAGGAAAAACAAAATGTTCATGTTTTGGCGACAGTTTAAAACACTTTTTGGAATGATTTTAACAAAGTAAGAAGTATAAAAACTACTGGTGCCAAAAAGAAGCATCTTCTTTCGATAGCTTATTTTTTCATTTAGAAATACCGCCATTATTTTACGGCGGTATAAAAAACTGACTAAAAAACCACCGCCGTTAGACGGTTTTACATGTTTCTTAACATGAATACCGCTGAAAAGCGAGGTAAATTTTTCAAGTATAGCGCTAAATCTGCTATACCTAAATCGTGCTAAATCGCAGTCTTCTTTGACAAGACAGATGTCACTTGTCTTGTCATTATTCAATTCATTATTCCAATTCTCAGAATTTTGTTAACAAAAGTTTCGTCTTAAAATAAAATTTTAATCAATCACAATTGTTTATCTCCATCATATACCAGATTTATAATACAGGTTGGTGGTAATAATTAAAGTTGATACAGTATTAAGTTTATTATAGTGATTTTCTTAGCCGCGTATTACACAGATCGTTACCCAGTGTTGCCACAAGCTTTTTTTTATCTGGGTAAATTATTACGAGTAGCGGCGTTAAATTGTTTGACAAAGGCGTAGATCTGCCCCGAACGGGGTAGGTGTGGTATCACTGCCGCGCTATCACTTTTCTATTAATTATTCCTTAAATTTTTACCCCCAACTCGCGTAAAGAAGCTTAACATTCGATTGCAATGTAAAACAAAAATAGACATAAATTAAAGAAAGTTTGAAACATTCTGTAGAATGGTTGAACAAAGTAAGGAATTGCATCTTTTTTTAATAGTTTGTGTTTTCAAAGTCAACAAAGAAATAGTTTTAATTGTTACAGTCTCTTTCAGAAGCAAATATCTCAAACAAAAAAAAACTATTGAGATGAAACAAGAAACAAATTATGGAAAAAAATACAAAATCATGATAAATTGGCTTTGAATTTTTTACTTTGTTAACCCATTTTACTAAAAAATCAAATAACCCAGCTGCAAATTAATAAAAAAAAATTACCAAAATGGACCCACTAGAACAAACTATTTTAGTTATTATTAAGTTTTGACACAGTTGTAACTGATTAAAATTAATATATTTCTTAATTACGAATTAAATTTTAAACGTCATTATGATAATTAAAAAACATAATTGAAAATCTAAAGTTAAACGTTTATTATTAGAAAAATTATATTAAAAACAAATAAAAATGTAATAATTCACATTACAATTTTCGTTATACGAAACGGTAAAAAACAGAACGATTTTTTGCCTTTTTAACTATAGTAAATTGTACAAAATTACAAATATAAAAACACGGAGTTCATATCTTTCTCTAATACTTTTTTACGTTTGTTTCTAGTATAGAACTGTACTCCTCGTTTTCCACTAGCAATTATTGCAATGTAAAATTATAATAGTTCTGTATAATGGCAAGAGCAATCAAATTAAGCACATCATGGAAAATGAAAATGAGCTGGCGTTACTGAAGCGTAGAGAAATTAATTCTTGCAAGCATTCCTATAATTGAAATTCCTTTAATTTAAAAGCAAAATTACATTTTTTTGTCTTTATATTTTTATATAGATTGTTTTCTATTTAGAATTTTGATTATATATCGCATACTAAGGTATCATAAATTATTTTTATTAAAAAATATTTGTAAGAAGGTATCCAATATACAGTATATCCCCGGATTCTCTTTACATGATGAAAAACTTTTTTATTATTTATATTTTGTGAAATATACACTCTTCATAAAAAGTTTTGCTTGTTCTAAAATGGTTAGTCCTATTTAAACTTTCCCACTGTTTTTCCCATACTGTTTTAGAGAAAATTAAGAAAAACATGGAAATATTGTTGAATTTTTTTGAAATCCTAAAAATTATTAAAGTCGTTTCTGTGATAATATCATTTTAATTTTTTTCTTTAGTAGATATTAATTTTAATTATCGTCATATTTTTCGCTGTTGTTAATCATTACATTATGACGTTACTTAAAATTCTATCAATAACAATCTATCAAAGAATAAAAACTAAATTATTTTACCATAGAAACAAAATTCTGTTTTGATTTTTAGGAAAAAAATCAACTATATTTTTAGTTTTTTTTTATTTTCTCTATAAAGGTATGGAAATTTGAAAGAGTATAAACGGGATTAACTATTTTAGAACAAGCTTTATGAAGAATGCATTTTTCTCAAAAGATCAATAATAAAAAAGTTTTTCTTTGTAAAAACAATCCGTGGATATACTTTATAATGAAATACATATGAAATTATTAGTAAGAATTTCAACATTTTGTTATAAATTTATAACTTTACGATTTAATTACGTCCTTTGACACTTTATTTGTTTATTTATTAACGAGTCGTTGTAATTTTCCCTATAGTATGTAAATTTTTAAGTGCAAGTTTAGAAACACTTGCATTTTTGGTAAAAATGAGTGAGTTGTTGTTCGACAGTGGTCGCGCTATTAGAACTCTAAATTCAAAAATCGATATCTCGAAATCCATTAGAAATAATTCGTTGTAGTTTTTTTCAAAAACTTTCTTAATATTTCTACTATATTTTCTTTGCAGACAGTATTTGAAAATCTGTACAAATAAAAAAATTACACGATTGCTGAAAATTGCTATGCACTAAAGTTAAAAGTAAATGGACGGGTTCAAAATTTTTGAAGGAAAAAAATACAGCCTTAAAATTTTTTCTCATTCAAACATCTTATAAAAGATCCGAACTTTAAAATAAAAAAAGAAGTTTCAATATCTAATGTGGTTCTTGAGTTATCGCGTGCTATATTTAAAAAAGAGTTTTTAAATTATAGCGGTTACTGACGTTCTGTCGCTATAAAAAATATGGTACCCTAACAATCTATACTCTATACTAATATATAAAATCCTTAAGTGACTGACATACTGATTAATCACGATCCTGCTCAAACCACTCAACGTAAGAAGCTCAATTTTGGCATACAGGTTGATTCTAGAGTGTAGAGGTTCGATATGAAGGGATTTTTCGAAATTCCAGTTCCAAGAGGGTGAAACCACCCCTCAAATATTACAATATTTTTTTATTTAAGAAACGGTCAAGTTTCCGAAAAAACCCTTAAACACGTATATTGTATTTTGTTTTTTTACAAATTTAGGATTTTTTAAAAATGTATACAGGGTGTTTCGGAAAATCTGGTCATTGATTAATCACGATCCTGCTTAAAGCGCTTGACGTAAAAAGCTGATTTTTGGAAAACAGAATGACTTTAGGGTGTAGAGGTTCGATAAGAAGAGATTTTTCGAAACTCGAATTCTAAGGGAGTGAATTTTTTATTTAAAAACCGGTGAGTTTTTCGGAAAAACTCTTAAACACGTGTATTTTAATTTGTTGTTTTACATATTTTAAGATTTTTTAAAAATTTATACAGGGTGTTTCATAAAACATGACCATTGAGGAATCACGATTCTGCTTAAACTGCTTGACGTTTAAAGCTGATTTTTGCCAAACGGATTGACTGAGGAGTGTAGAGGTTCGATAAGGGGGAGTTTCTCGAAACTCAAATTCCAAGAGGGTGAAAACGCCCCTCAAATATTACAATATTTGTTATTTTGAAAAACGGTTAGTCTTTCGGGAAAACGCTTGGACAAGCATAATTTATTTGTTTTTTTTACATATTTTGAAATTTGTTAAAAAATCAAACAGGGTGTTCCAAAAAGTTGGGTAATTTCTTAACCACGATTCTGCTTAAACTGCTTGACGTAAAAAGCTTATTTTTGGCAAACGGATTTTTCGAAAGTCAAATTCCAACGAGATGAAACTACCCCTCAAATATTACCAAGTTATATAATAATATCGCCATATTGTTTTTTCTCATGCTGATATAAATGTGAAAAAATTTTATCCAGTTTATGGAAATTCTTGCTTTGCTTTATCATCACCATTACAAATGATTAATTCGACGCGAACGAAGTCGCTGGTACACGCTAGTATCTTATAATTTTCGTCGCATTTC